CATCGCATCAATTCCTGATGGGGTGACGTGTCACACAGGGATACATAAACAGTCCATATGTCGGTCACATTATCTCATCGGGTCATCCAACGGAGATGACCATTACTGTAAAACGACACCTATGTAAAGTTTTTCAAACAAAAAGAGGAAGGTCGGTCGTCGCACCAGGCCCAAAAACGGAGCTGGACTGTCAGAAGAAAAAACTGAGAAAAAGGGACTGTCTGAAATCAGAGCCCAATCTATGAAGTTGCCTCCTTCGTCACCGACACAATTTCAGTCCTCGATTTAGCTTCCTAGTGGAACTGCCGCTGCGGTCCGTTTTATAACTAGAGTTTTTTTTTTTTTTTTGCCCCAATACTTAGTGCTTTTAGAGATATTTAAGAGTACGTTTGTTTCGTTTTTTTAGTGTGTGTTTTTAAGTATTTTTTATATTGGAAATATAAAAAATATATATTAAAAATGTAAAAAAGTATGTTGAGATGAGATAGTTACTATTATTTAATTCTAAAAAAACCAACTAAAAAAAGAAAACAAACAAAGCCTAAACTATTACATCGAGGTAAAATAGTATCAATAAAGGAGACTCTAGCTTACGATGCAAGATGTTGGTACCGAGAGAATACATAGATTGACCGGCATTATTCATTAATCTTTGATTACAAACCAATAATGGCTATATATACAAGTTACAATGTGTTCTAGGATTTAACGGAATGTTCCGAAAAAAAGTATAATAACATACTTATCTTCTCTAATCTATATTTTTTTTTACCAAGAAACGAGTTGATATTATTAATATTGAAAGATAGAGTTCTGATTACATGCTATTGCTAAGTTATGTACTATTTCTAATCTATCTCGACTAACTTTATATACATTACAAGCATTATACAACTTTTGATAATGGATAATATCAACTATCATGTTTCTGATTTCCATATGAGCTTTTTCTAGATTGCGAAGAGTATTCACTAATGTGAGTGAATCGATGCCTATAATGTCTACAATAATCTGATTCTGTATTGCAGACTTGATGGCTGCCAGACATGTTTGTGCCTCTGCTTGCAGCGCCGAGGTTGCTATGAATTTTATTGTGTGTGTGATTGAGCATACAGTTTCTAAACTGGGCAGAGTCCATGCACCTGGTGCTTCTAAAGATTCTCAATTAAAAGATCCATCAAAAAGCATTGTTAAAGCTTCTTCATTTACTGGAACATGTGGTGTGTTCCTTTGTTGGAGAGTATCTTGCAGAGAATCTAGATTCCAACTCTGCCTGAAAGTCCTGTATTCCGTCCTGGCATGGCTGATGACTTCTTCAGATGTATCCCTTTGTTGTTCCCAATACAACAAGTTTCTGCTTTTCCAAATATGCCATAGAATCACCAAGGATTCCTCCAATAATTCCCTGTCTGGTGCTTCTTTGAACAAATCTGTTAGCCACAGTGACGGATTTAGGGGGGGTCAGGGTGGTCGATCGACCCCCCGGTTGGCCGGATTTGGCTAAATTTTTTCTTAGTAGGGTGTCCGTTATTTGAAATTTTTTCAGTTCGACCCTCCGGTGACGGTTGAATAATCCTATTTTCGACCCCGCAATTTGAAAATTCTCGTTCCGTCACTGGTTAGCCATTGTTGGATGGAGACTGGTTGTTCTTGCTGAAAATTGAAACCAAAATCTTGATAGAAACCAATCTCGTCTGGCTTTGTCACATTCAATAAAAATGTGTGTGTTAGTTTCCTCCGACTGATTGCATTCCACACGTATAGTTGGTATCGATATTCCTCTTTTCTGCAATTGATCCACAGAGGCACATTTCCCATGTAGGAGCTTCCATATAAAATGTTGTACTTTAGCCGGCAACCGAAGGGTCCATAATTTCTTCCACATGGTGTTCTGTGTATCTGCTAGAGGTTGATGATTTGATGTTGACGGGAGGGAGAAATTACGCCTATTAGCTGCCTGGTGGTATCCTGATTTAACCTTATATTGACCATGCTTTTTCAATGACCAAATAAGCTCATCTTTAGCATCCAACCCTGTTTGTGGTAAGCGAATCGAGAAAATACGACGAGTTCAAAATGAAGTTTCATAGAAATGAATGTTAATTATATATACCATCCCATCTTAAAAAAGTAATCTATATTACAACTCGAGAATTGGATTTATTTGTAATACAATTTACAAATTATAATGTGTGAACTATTTTCATGAGAAAAAGAATATATAGTTAAGTAAAGTTCTCTCCTAATAATAATTAGTGATGTCTTGTCGCGCAATGCGCGAACCTGGCCCAATATATGTGTAGATCTTAGAAATGTTTGTATCTGAAAAAAGTATTTTATATTTAGCCCGATATATTTTAGAAATTTTTGAAGAATTTAGAAATGTTTTATAAGTGTGATCATAGAAATGCTTGTATTTGACATAAAAAGAAATTGTGTTTGGTCCGGTATATTTTAGAAATGTTTGAAGATTTTAGAAATGTTTTATAAGTGTTACTTTTTAAATATAAATAAACTTGATCAAATATATGTCTTGAAGTAAATGCTAGAGAAAATATGAAAGCATGCCAATAAGTTTAAATATTAGTAAGATAATTTATTGATGTTCTCCATTTGTTGTACCAAATCAATACTTAATTTTGGAGATTTATAATAGCTTTATAGTAAGCTTCCTCCCAAGGGTATACGCTTAATTGTTGGAACTACTTCTTCCAAAAGTTTATAAGTAGTAAAATATCAAAAATATGATTTTGAAACTGGTTAATTGTTGAAACTGGTTGATCACAAATATGAGAATGAAAATAATGTAGATTTGCATAGGCTTCAAGTTATAGCAAAAAAGATCTCACCTCACTATGGCAAATTAAGAAAAAAAAAAATAAAAGATAGCTCATTAAAAATTGAGAAATTATTTGTATAAAAACACAAATAAACGTAGAAACACCGTTCCTTCCCTCTCAGCCTCAAATTCATAAAAGGCTTCCCCATAAATTAATTAGAAGAAGCGACATGAACTATTTATATGATGAAGAACTAAAAAAAGTCCAAAAATCAAATCCAAAAAAGTATATTCTTGAAAGCCCGAACATAAAAAAAAAACGCGCTTCATTTGTAAATAAAATAATAATAATAATAATAATAATAATAATTATTATTATAATTATTATTATTGGTCAATTGGGAGTATGAAACAAAATCAAAAGCAATTAAAAAAAATACACTTCATTGACCATATACAAAAAAAAAAAACCAAGACTCCATAATTAAAAAAAAAACCACTCTAATTGAATTAAATATAAAAACGAAATTAAAAAAACCACGTTATGTAACAAAAACCCAATTAATGAATTCAATCCAAACAAAACTAAAATCATACAAAAATTCTAGGCTAACTAACCATATAAGAAATCGTATCATATTATATGACAACGGCTACGGTAGCTCTAACAGAAGGACGTATAAAAATAATAGTAATAACACTATTCTTGAATGGAAAAAATAAAAAATAATAAAAGCCAAACAAATGATCTGTTGAAATAAAATCTTTTAAATTTTAATACCTGTAATTGCACCACAACAACGGCCGAAGCAAGATCAATGAGAATTATTTTTTTTTCCCTTTGTGTTTATATAGAGAGGTAAAGAGAATATTTTTTGAAGTCAAAATTTTATCCGATTAGGATGTAATTGATCATCATTAATGAAAAGATTGAACATACTAATTGGAATGAAGTATATTTCATCACATATTCTCAATTGATGATTGATGAGGAATTTGTTGTTTTTTTTTATTGTGGGGAAGGGATTGATTTGGATTTTTAGTAGAGATGGGGATGAGGATTTGGATTTTTTATGAACCCCTGGTTTTTTTTTTTTTTGTGAAAATAGGAGGTGGAGGTGGATTTGAACTGCATTTACCTTTTAAGTCTAGGAGATGTGGAAATAAAAATTTATTTTAAAAATACGATGTGAAAATACCACATGGTAAATGACGGTGCTTTCTCTTTAGTGTGGTTTTTGTTTCTAATATAGTAAGATGTATGATCAAACCATTATTGATTTTTAGTACAACAAGAAAATCATTATTATTTATTATAGCACAGAATGTGTATACAAAAATATCTCTTATATTAGTACTCTTTTTTCTTTTCTTCGGTTTTTCATTTGGAGAGAAATATCTGTCTAATTAATTGTGGTTTCTTGGCGAACAGCGTCCACTCAATTCCAACCTCATCCCTTTTGACATTCCAAATCCCATATTCCACCCTCCACGCCATCATCATTCTCCTCTCTTCAAATTCCATTCGCGTTTCATCGCTACCATGCAAGCCAATTGAAAGGAGAAGGAATCCCAAAGAACCAGGAGGATACTCAGGAAGAGAATGTTGGGGACTTTTATTGGAAATCAATCTTTTGGCTACCTTGACTCCAATCCAACTGCTCTGCAAACTGTAAGTTGTTCGTGGCTGTGGTTCGTAATTAACTACAGTGAATGAATAATTCTTTTAAAGCACTCTGAACCTTAGATTTGTTCCTACAAAACCATGTTTTTTGCTTCTTCGTCCTTTTTTTTTTTTTTTCAATGATATGCAGTAGAATCAATTGCACTGCCGATGATATTCGGTTAATAAAGGAGAAAAATAAAATAAAATACTCCATTCCTCCCAAAATAAATGTCTAGTTTTATTTGTTATATTGTACTATTTGAATGGACAAAACAGATTAAAAAAAAAATTAACACGTAAATAAACTCAAACAGTTTGTTTTAGGATGCTTTGAAATTGGACTATATTGATGTTACTTTTGTGTGGCGCGTTACAATTAATCGGCCTTTAGTATAATGAAACTGAATTTCCATCTTGTAGTTAAGTTTATTTAATTTGTTAAATATTTTAATATACTACTACTACAAAATTTTTAAATAGGAAAAATCACTATTCCTGTGAAGGTGGAGGGCTGGAAGCTGATTAGCTGAGAGGACAGAATACGAACAACCTTAGATGTCGAACGCCGTGGTGAGCGGCCTTGCCGGTGCCGGCGGCGGTATCATAGCTCAGATCATTACTTACCCTCTCCAAACGGTGCGGATCTCTTCCCATATGCTCCCTTCGTTGCAAAATTTGTGTCCAATTTGAATTTTCATTTTTAGTACAAATTAAATTAAAATTGAAAATTCAAACTGAACAATAATTTTAAAACAAAGAGCACAAATTTCCTTCTGCATGTAAAAAAAATGAAACTGCATAGTATGCTGAAAAACAATTAATGAAAAAAATTAGACAATTCTCGTAATAAATTCTAAAATTAAGTGCATTGCAGGTGAATACCCGCCAGCAAACTGAGCGAGTCGCTAAGAAGAATAATAAGGCTGCCGCCGGCTCACACCAGCCAAACGCCGCCAAAAGAGGCACCCTTTTCCAAATTTTCGACGTTGGTTCTTCTCACTCCCAATCATTTTTAACCACTAATTTCTTGTTTGATAAATCAATTCAGCACTTAAATTTATTGATTAAGTATTTAATTGATTATCACTGTTTGATAATACAATATCATAACAACTTAATTGATTAAGAAGTTAATTAATTAAGGACTTAAATTTTAAGTGCGTTTGATATCTCAAAGTAGGATGTCTTAATAAAATAAGTGAGTCTGAAATGCTATACAAATGTGAGTCAAAATATAAGTTATATGTCTATCACTTATGTCTGAACTGAATTCTTAAGACGATTTTTTCCTACTTTATTTACTTTTATTGTTTAAACTATTGATGTATAATCTTGAAACATTTTTATCAATCTTGATGTTTAGTCATAAATTAAAATTTATATACATTTTTAATAAATATTTATTTTAATTCCATGATCAATATATATTTACCATAAAATATATTTTTTTATAATGATAAAGATATGACATCATTATTAACTGGAAAAATAGTTACATAATAAAATTTAATATTTTTATTACATAATTTTATAAATAATACTATTATTTTTATTATCATAGTTTCATATATATCAATTATTTTCTTAGATAAAATTATAAATCGAGATACTTTAAATTCCAATGTTCAGATTTCAGATTTCAGACATTTTCTTCACTTTTCAAAATTTTGGTTTTTATCAAACACGACAAACTCAATTAGTTCAGTACTTATGATTCAATTTTCAGATTTTAGCATTGAGACCCAATTTTAGTTTTATCAAACAAGGCCTAAATTATCACGAATTAATAATATTAATATAATCACAATTTTCCGATATTAATGATTATTATCAGGTGATAAAAAATGAAGGATTGGGTGGACTTTACAGTGGCCTCAAGCCTTCTCTCTTAGGAACTGCTGCTTCCATGGTCTGTTTCTCCATTGCATCAATTTAAATCAATGTGTTTTTCTTAGGGATTAATTTAATTGTCGTCTTAATTAATTGTCATTTTGGCTGCAGGGTGTATATTATTACTTCTACCAGGTTTTCAAAAATAAGGCTGAGGCTATTGCAGCTAAGAATTTCAGAAAAGGGAAGGGAAATGGGTCGGTTGGCATGTTTTCATGGCTTGTAGTTGCAGCTTTTGCAGGGTACGTAGCTAAAATATTTAATTTAATTTGTACTCTCCTAATTCAGTATATAACTGTTCTTATTATATATGCTGCATGAATTCATTAGGATAACTAACCTCTGGTATTCAGTTTATAACTCTTACAAATGTAGGTCTTTGAATGTGTTGCTGACTAACCCGATTTGGGTACTTGTCACCCGGATGCAGGTACTTTGTCAGTTGAATTTTGATACATGCATTTGTGGTATTATTTGCATAAAAATGTCTTAATCTATGCGTGTTATATTAAATTTTGTAAATCAAAAACAAAAATACAACTTGATACATTGAGGAGAAGGAAAATACTGCGATTTATTGAAGTGAGACTGAAGGTAGTAGTTGTGGTTCGCATCAATGCGTTGGATCGAAAGAAGTAGGGGCCAAGCAAGCTGTATAACGTTGTTTATATGGAAATCCTTATTAATTACAGACTCATACTCAAGCTGAGAAGAAGATTTTGGAGGCTAGAAGAGAAGCTTTGTTGAAACAAATCAGTGAAAGGACACATTCAGATGCTTTGCAACAAAAATTGGATGAGTTGGAGTCGTTGAAGCCAACACCCTACGGAACCCTTGACGCTGTAATTGGAAATTTTCAATTCAATTCTTCACTAAATTAATACTACAATGACAATGGCTACTGAGGGATTGTTTCGTGGTATTATCATTCTTCCAACATATTATTTATTTGATGTTGGCAGGCATCTGAAGTGTACGGTGAATCCGGAATTAGAGGGTTCTGGAAGGGTATCGTCCCAACATTAATCATGGTAAATCCTTTCTGATTTTTCTATGTAGTACTAATATACTACTCGCTCCGGTCATTATCATAATACATTTTGATTTGTCAAAGGTTTCACTTAATATGTTTTTTTTTCAATTGGAGGAAAAAAAAACCTTGAAATGTTTCATAATAATTAGGTCATCACAATGAATATGAAAATATAGTTTTAAGGTTTTTTTTTTTCCAATCGAAAAAACATACTAAGTAAAATTTAAGACAAATCAAAATACCTTATAATAAGGATTGGTAGAAGTATTGTGCTTTAGATATCAATGACTGTTTATCTAATGTCGGATTGAATTTGCAGGTCTGTAATCCTTCGATTCAGTTCATGATCTATGAAACTTCATTAGGACGTCTGAAGCGTAAACGTGCAGAAAAGAATAAATCAAAAGGTGTCTCTGCTTTAGAGGTACACAAACTTTCAATTCCATGATCTCTATCTTAAACCGATCGTGAGTAAAATCGCCAATGGAAATATCTGTCTAGAGATCTTCTTTAACCATTTCAATGGATATACATATTCCATTGTAAGAAATTAATCTTGCCTGTCTTTGAGGTACACAGGTTTTTCTGTTAGGCGCGTTGGCAAAACTAGGAGCAACTGTCTCAACGTATCCCTTACTAGTTGTGAAGGTAAAACTATTTTGACTTTGCTTTAGTTTCAACTTTGAATTATGTTTGTTTTCAAAAACCAACAAATTAGTGGACCTAAACATTTTGTTTTTGTTCTTGTTTTGAATTACATTTCAGTCAAGGCTCCAAGCAAAACAAGAAATAGGTGGTAACATTTCCCAAAGATATTCAGGTGGGTTGTGTTGCCGAGTTTGCTCTGTTTCTACTGATATTGTGCCTGAAGCATTTTCAACGGGTTGAGCTAAAATGAGTTGAATTGGGCTATCTATTAGGTACAATTGATGCCATTGTGAAGATGATTCGATACGAAGGATTCCGCAGTTTCTACAAAGGAATGAGCACAAAGATCGTTCAGAGTGTGCTCGCAGCCTCTGTTCTTTTCATGATCAAAGAGGAGCTTGTCAAAGCTTGTGCGGCAGTGATCAATGGAAGACACCAAATTATTCCGAAGATTGTGAATGTCAAAATAAGTTGATCGCTATTCGTTGGAATTCGGTTGAAGCTCTGCATTTTGTTGCCACTAAAGAGTTGACGGCGATCCAACGAAGACCACCACATCTGGTGAAGGGCATTTTGAACTATTTGATGACATCCATATCGGATCAGATGTTTCTGCTAGTAATTAGATTATTATCTATCTGAACCAAGGAGAAGTAACCATGCCTCGCTAAATTCAAAGTCGAACTCCTGCCGTCCCAAAATGATTCAACTTTGGGACACAGGTAGTATTTGGAAACAGAAACCCCAAATCAAAGACGATCATCCTAATGTCTTGTTAATTAAAAAAACTTGAGTATGTATATAAATCAAAAACCGAATATGGTCGATCTCTATAAGTCGACGAAAACATCGACCCACACATTTTGTACAGAGTTCATCTTTGCAAACGCAATTTCTTTACAGTTGACCAAAAATATGATTGCGTCAATTATTTTGTCGATGTTTGTAAAACCGACAATAAAGTCGACGTGGTCAGTTTTATTTTCTTAATCAATACTTTTGTTTTCTATTATTAAGGCTACAATTATGTATCGGTATATATGTTGCATCAAATTTTTACAATATACACCTAAAATATTAGAGAATATTTTCAAAAATAATCTCTATTCTACCAAAATGCAAAAAAAAGAGAGCAAAATTATTTAAAGTATATCATTCGTTGTCCCATGAATTTTTTTTTTTTTTTTTGTTTCATCACTTTGTATATGGTAGAATCAAATAAAACACATGAATAAAAATACACTCAGAAGCTCTATTTTTGGACGGAGAAATAAGATTCAAAATTCTAACTTCTTTCTAGCATACTGTTTTTTTTCCCTAAAACAATTATTTTAGGAAAAAGTGCAACAAAATGTAGTTTACTTTGTTGATTATACCTTGTCAATAACAGTTACACATGGTCAACATAAAAAAATCTTGTATGTGGTATTTAGATGTAATTCACTTTTCTTCTAATTAGAATTCAAATTTCCCCACCAGTCTTCATACAAACTATTAAAATGTAATTAATTATGTGAAATTGAAACTGATAGACTAGTATTATCATTTCATTTTTTCGTTAAAAGATAGACTAGTTTTGTCGATTATTAGGATCTATACTTTGTAATACCATCAAATTGAAAAGATTACTTTATCCCAATTAAATGAGTTTAACTATATGTATTGAATTGTTCCACCATTTTTTCTTTTAGATAATATACTTAAATACAATAAAACTTTATGAAACTTAAAATCTTCCCCCAAAAAGTAGGGTAAATAACTGGAAAGATAAAATCATTAAATACATAATTGCAAAATTAAAAAAAAAAAAAAAGGTTTTATACAGTGCATCGACTTTGTAATCGACCTACATAAGGGGACGAAAATGTCGACGCACACATTTTGTATATAGTTCGCATTTGGCAAAGGCAATCTCTTTACAGTTCATCAAAAACATGATTGCGTCAACTATTATGTCGATGTTTATGAAACCGACAATAAAGTCGACAAAATCAGTTCTATTTTCTTGATTATCACTTTTGTTTTCCATTATTAGGGCTAAATTATGTGTTGGTAGATATCTTGCATCAAAACTTTACAAAATACACCTAAAATATTAGAGAATATTTTGAAAAATAATCCCTATTGTACCGAAATTAAGAAAAAAGAAAGCAAAAATTAATTAAATATATATATATATATATATCTTTCATTGTCCCGTGATTTTTTTTTCTTTTATTTTTTTTTTAAAAAAAAATCAGAAAGAAAGAGAACCGATGAGTTATGAATAAAAAGGTACAATACTGTAAAATGTAAATCATCTTATTCTCCTTGCATGAGATGAGCAATAGTGTGAAGAGTAATTTGTGTTTAGTTTCGTGTTATTTATTTTTCTTCTGCGCGTGTCGCAAATTGTTTAATAAAGATTTTTGCATCATGTATGTTTATTGTTATTGCGTTCCATCAAAATACATTTTCCCTTTTTAATATCCAATATTTGTTTCGCACCTTTTTCAAGTGAAGGATTATTACTTGCAACTGGTGAAATTTGACTTTTTATGAAGTTTCTAACGAGATTCTGAGTGTCCTAATCACCGGACTAATGGTTCATTCTGTTTCGAAACCGTTGTTTGACGTATCAGAAATAATTGGCCCCCCAAGTCCCGGTGACCTATATAGTTGTCTCAGAAAGTCAACTATATTTCAGTTCATAGAGATTCCTCCCAGGGTAAGTGTGTAAACTCCTACAGAATGAGGCTTAAAACAGATGTGGATATCATAAAAGGATAAGAGAAAATGGTAGATGCTCTTCTAAGCAACCAAATCTTCCAATTCACAAAGCCAAACAAACAAAAAAGCGTACTAAGAATCCAAGAAAAAGGGGAAACAAATTTAATAACATTAAGCAGAGATTTGTTAGATATTGTTTCCATCTTTACAGCTTTCAAATCATCCCCCATATTTTCCGAAAACACCTCAAAGTGGTACAACTTTTGGGATTATTACTACTTTTTGGCACACACCAATCATATTTCAAACACAAATTAAAGGAAAAAAACGAGAGGAAAAGAAAAGAAAAAAGAAAGAAGCTTTTTTTGAAGCACCTCAACATTTCTTTCATGATTATAAAGTTAATACACATATTTGTTGAGAAAAAATCATGAGGTTTTTTTTTTCCTTTTTTTTTTTTTTTTTTTTGCCTCGATGGCTATTAGGAGTTTACTCTCAAAGTGCTTTGTACTGTTTTCAAAAGTCTCGAGCTTGTATCTGAAGGCATTGACTTCCTCGAAAAGATATAATTAGTATTCTTCCGTCCCATTTTAATAGTTTATTTTATTAATCGGTTGTTTGAGTTTTACAAAATATAAACTATTGAAATAAAATAAAGTTAGAAATTTTTTTCTCCCCAATTACCATATGAGCAAAATTACTCATATGTACTCTTCCAAGAAAAAGACCCCAAAAACATAGTATATATGTGAAGAAAAATTGAAAAGGGAAAAGAAGGGAACAAATTGATGAGTGCAATTCAATGGAGAAGCTGGACGAATGAAAGTTGGACTTTTGGACGCCGTTGACATGAAATTTGAAGGTGATGATGAAGCGTGTGCTGTTTGCAGGAGACAGAATCATATACTTTTGCCTTTGTTGCTAGGGAAAAAATAAGGCAATTAATTTGGAAGATAAAAATAAAGTGAAAGAAATTAACTAATGGGAGCTCGGTTAGCTAGCAGCTATGAGTCTTGATAATCATTTTGTGGGTCTGAATTATAATTTGGTTTCTACTTTCTTATCCTATCTGAAAACGCCTCATCACCACCCAAATTTCTATTTTTTTTTAAAAAAAATAAATAGCTACTAATTTGAGGCCCCTTTTTTCACCAATAATATCAGAGGACTTATTAGGGCATAACCAATCAATCCCATATATAGCACAGGGGGGAAAGGAACCAGCAAATAAAACTGCCCTTAATTTGAGAGTAAGAATCATTTGCGTCAGTCTAATCAGTTGGTTGGTGGTATTTTAAGTGGGATTTTGATGTCATGTTATTTGTCGCGTTTGTCAATATCAATAGACATTTCTATTATGGTGACAAACGAACATTTTTAGAGGTGTGGCCGATGTGCGATTTGCTTAATAAATATGGTATACGATTTACAATGTAGATTATTTTTACAGGACAAAATTTAGAGAGTATTATTTTAATAAACTATAAGGTTGTTTAGATCAGTAATTAGTTCATGTTAATCCTCATTCGACACAAGTAACCCACTTTCTAAGTACAAATCTTTCAACAAATATTTGACTATGTAAAAACTTGATTTGAGATTTGCTTAAGGTTATCTGCACACAGCTTGAGGAGCTTAAATTTGTCTTCATTTGAACAGAGATTTAGGACAAGAAGTTGAGTGGGGACGAATAAGACGTGTGTTTGATGGTAGTTGCACCGATTAGGGTTAAGAAAGAAATGGCCCCTAAATTGTGTGATTTTTAGGGTACCTTATCATCACCCCGAATCTAAGTAGATATATTGTGTTGCTATGGTGAGTTGGACAGCATGCCACTTCGCATAATATGTGGTAATTAAATTTGCATTACTAATTTTAAATTTGTAATAGAATGACTAACTAGAAAGCTGATGAAATTAATGGGGATTAATTGATGTTGGTTAAAGCTAGTGCTTAAGTCAAGATTCTCATACCAGATTTTGAGATTTTTGTTTAATTTTCTGTTGAGTTTTTGTGCTATGAACCTGTGGATGGTGGGCCGATAAGTGGGAAACGGGGACCCTTCGATCTCTTTGGAAACTCCATTGATGATAGAAACAACGGTAAGCAAGAGTTCTACGCGGTTGAAGTCTTAATACTAATGCTCCTCAGGTCACTCTACTACGAGTTAATAATTATATCGTTTAAGATTTGATGTATTACTTCCGTCTCAAAATTATTGTGCAATTTAGATTTTTATTTTACTACAAATTGAAATAATAATAAAATTCAAATTGGACAATAATTTTAAGACAGAAAAAGTATTTATATTTGGTGCGATAACATTACTAAGCTGATACTCCCTCTATTTTTTTTTTATATGTAGATCTAGAAAAATCATCAAAACCAAGAAAACATTAATTAATGTAGTTAAAATACAAAAATACCCTTATTTATTGTCTATACAATCTATTATAAACTAATAAAAATTCATTATAAATATTGTTACCTTTCTAATGCAAGGATAATATTGGTAAAAAATTGTCAAATATGCATCGATTTATGAAAATGACATATATTTAAAAAAATTCATTAAATCTTAAAACGACATATATATATTTCAAAATGGAGGGAGTATAGTTTTAAACATCGGTGTAATAAGATTGCTATAATTTTATGGCACAAGTTGCTATACGAACTTGACATACAGGAAATGTACCAAAGATATACTTTGGTTTCAATGTCGTGACATAAAAGAATGGATGTTCCCTAATCTTTTTAGCTGTA